TAAAAAAAAAAAAAAAAAAAAAAAAATCCAGCAACGAGTTGCTTAACTTTCCCGGTAACATCTGGTGGCGTCATCTGTTACGATATTTTATTTTTAAAAATTTTTATATTTTTAATTATTATAAAATGGCAAAAACTTAATTTTGAAGGTAGGAATGGGTTTTATAAAAATAAAAAAAAATTGTAATGGCTAATAAACGAGTAAAATCGTCATTAAGTCAGACCCTTTATTTCTCTTTACACGACTTCCTTTATCTCCCCATCCTCGCAGCCTTTAATTATCAAAAATTAATAGCATCGATCTCCCTAATACCCAAACCTTCCTGCAAAATTTCAGAAAATTTCTATAAAAATTACAGAAGTTATTTTGTGCGATTAAGGTGAACAAAATCGTGCCCCACACATACACTCAGAAAAATAACACCGAACTTTTTTGCATTTCTAGACGTTTCTAAGTACCCTGAGTCCAAAAATGAAAAAATCTGGGGGGAGTCATTTTTTGATTGATTGCCATACTTTTCTTCTGTTATATATAACAGCCGGAAAAGTAATAACATTTAATAAGTTGGATCAACGATTTTGCTTTTAACTCTAAATTTGACGGTCTAAATTATAACTTGTCAGCATTGTTGTATACCATCTACGTTCTTATCGATGTGTAAAGTTCAATTTATTTGTTTTTCAACATTTCGAATTGGGTATACAAATATTTGGATCTGGCCGAGACAGTTAAGGCGGCAGTTTTATTCCTCTGGGGACCCGGGAACGAATCCGGCTGAAAGAAGTTTTAAGAGGAGGTTTCTCACCCTATTCACTCCAATTCTCACCTATTCACTCCAAGGCCTGGCCATACCTGTAATGGGTATTAAAACGTGTCTTATTAGTGTCCACAAGAGTATAAAAAAGATGTGGATTGGCTCTATTTATTATTTTGTAAAAATACAACAAATGCAATATGACATAAACATCTAAATTTCATTTAAAAGGAAATACGTATACAATTTAATATTTACTGAATTTGCATAAATTGAACACGCAACATAAGCTAAGTAATAATATAAGGTATTGACCACGATATCATATATTCAGTATTTTAATATTTTTATGAAATACTTTCATTCAACAAAAGCTATGATAAATTTATTAATTTAAAATATTCTTCTTCACTGTATATAGTATATTTTACAATTGCCCATGTTATTTTTATTAAATGTTTTCTAAACTTTATTTGAATACATTTGATTAAAAATGAGAAAATATTGCATTTTTTTCTATTCGTGCTTATCTTCTAACATAAACACTTTGTTTTCTTGATAGTTGTAGTTCTGGTGGCTTTCTAAAATCCCAAACAGTTCGAAATCAGTGACTAATGCAGGCTCTTTAAATAAAATATACTAATAGAATTAGGAAGTTATGCTATTTTTTTTTTTCTTTTAAACTAAAATAAAAATGAATTCAGCCACTGATATGTAGAAAACACAAGGCAAACGTTCGTTTATGTTCCAACAGAGGTTCACCACAGTAATAAAACAGTAATAATAATTTTGAGATACACATACAAAACCACTGCTACATTTCTGATCTGGAACTGGAGCAGGCTTCGTGTTCGATTCGAATATTGGTTTTCGCACCCAATCTATGATTAAACACTCTTTATATCAATCTTTCTTTCTGTCTAGGATAGTGAAATACATCGAAAATAGTTGAATAAAAAAAAATGAGTCTATTTCTTAAAATAAATAATTTAAGATGGTAATACGTGACTAAAGCAAGAAAAGATTTGATTGTAAAGACCTTACTAATTCCAAATGTTTTAATGTATTATTGTTATTTTATTCCACACTTAGGGACGTCCCGATAACACAAAAGTATCGATAACGATTAGTATTGGCATCGTGTATCGAAACCGGAAATCTCGCTGGCTGTCGTTCAGTTTGTGGCTTGATTTTGAAATGTTTTGTGTAATAATAACTTTAATTTTAACATAAATAACATACTTTATTCTCGTTAGTTATTATTAACAAATGATTTCTAATATAAACTAGGTAGAAGTAAGTATAAATTAGGTAGAAGTGCCTCTATGGTAGCACTTCCGGAATCTCGACAACTTGCGTACTTTGAAAGTTAATCTAGGTGTCGATGTCTTTAGTTTACAAGATTTCCAACGTCATTTCAGTTCTAGATTAATTTCCTAACATTTTATAACTTTGTTAAGAGTAATTTAATTATTCAGGTTCAAAAAGTTATATATTGTTGTGTAAATCATTTTTTTCGAAGTTTACATTTGATATTTTGTCGTTGGAAAACATCAACAATTTTCTTGGCAAAAATGTACTTTAAGGGTTTTTTTCAGTTTTTAGTATCGGAATATCCTTAATTTAGTTTTGACAAGTGAATTTCATCAGTTGGTATGTTTGCCATAACGTTTGGTGTGCAACCTGCAGATGCAAATTGTTCGAAATGTGATGGTCATCGTAAATTAAATTATCGAAAGGATCGTGATTCTGCTTCTTGTAGATGTCATAAATGCAAGATGAACAGTTCGTCATTTGAAGTAATTTTTAAACGTAAATTTTGGAAAATTTCTCGGGAAACTACTTTTCGTTTATTTGGCATCTAATTTGCATAAATGTACGTTGAGCGTCACCTATTCGGCTGTAGGCGTGAGTAGTCATACAGCTGTTGACTGGGCGAATTTCATATGCCACATTGAGTGTTTTATAGTCTAATTTTACCGGAATGAAAATTGGATGGACCTGGAAAGGTTGTCGAAATTGACGATATTGTTGTGAGCAAAAGGAAAAAACTAGGAGAGCGGTTCGACCTGTTTGTTCAGCATACGAATAAGTTTTATCCAGAAGCGGGACGTGTTTTAGTTTGGAAAGAGCCAGATATTGTACTTTTAACCCTGAAAGTAAGTACCAATAAATCCGAAAATCGTAAGATGAAGAATGTAGACATGTGTTAAGAATGCAGAAAAAGTTTCTAAGATGGAAAAGGATGAAGTTACGAAAGAATCATCCGAACTATGTTTTTACCGAATAAATCGGAGAAAAGGAATTATCAATAGAAATATGTCAATGGTGAGTGAAAGATTTTTTTCTTTAATTGCCGATATAGTAAGTAGCTGCACCGGTCGCCATCTTGTTTGTAGACAAAGATGATGGCGACCGGAAGTGCCTCACAGGGACTACCTAAGTGCAATTTTACCAAATGTTATCAATACTGTATCGGTTGATTTGAGATTTTAATATATTTTCGAGTTTTTCAAATAACTAGCGAATTATAATTAGTAATCTGAACACTAAGCAGAGTGTAAATAGATTCTAAAAATTAAATTTGATGTAATAAATTTATTGATTTTGGTCATTAATAATTTTTATACAAGTTTAGCTTAACCAAACATAGTGTAAGATTTGGTTTCGGATTCGGCGGAAACTGACTTTAAAATTTAAATTCGGTTTCGAGTTTGGATTCGGCAGCAAAATTCAATTTCTGTAACAAACCGACCTTCTTCGTCGTCACGCAAATCGAACTTTCGCACGCGCCCCTCGTCCGTTTAGCGGAATTAATTTGCATAACCCGCCGCGTTAAAATTCAGCGCCCTCTATCGCAAGCGTCACTCGGTACCCCGATACGAGATTACCGGAAACGCCGCCATCTCGATACCTAGGGTAACATTAACCCGACGGCTTGCGAACTCACGTTAGATTATTAAGGAGTACTAAAAGCGACATGCTACTGCATAAGCAGTGAATTCCTATCTTTGTTCTAACATTTACTCAACTTACATAATAAACATTGTACAAGATATAATACGTTAGCGTATATAAGTTAAGGTATATATGGTCAAATTTTCGAGAAAATAAAAATAGAAGATCGGTATTCAAAAGATATTTGGAAAGAGATTGGCTGTATTTCAAATGTAGGGTGCGTTCGTTTGTTTACGTTTTCACAATGCAAAATTTTCCCATTGACTTAACATAGGGATGACTGACTACAGATATCTCCCGTTCTAGGCTGAATTTTAAAATTCGGTATTCATCACGACACGTCAGTTTATTAATTCTATTAATGTGCAAAATTTCGTTCAAATCGGTCAAGTCATTACTTTGCAAAACGTGTTTCAGCGGTTTGTCAATTTGAGTTGTACTACGAAAGCTTGTTTGCTTCGCTCGCTGCGCTTCAATAAATATGATTAAAATATTAAAATAGTGGAATGCAATTGCATTCATTATTCAAATATTACTATTAAACTATGCAAATGAAGCTATAATTGGGAAGCGTTAAGATAGCAATAGAGATTTTAACATAGTTCAATACTAAGACCTCAAAATAACTAATGTAAGTAACTGTACATAACTAAACTCAAAAATTTTCTCTTATCATACTAGCGAATTCGAGTGATGACGTCATTAGTCTACTCCTTCTGCTCTACCAAGCAGCAGGAGTAAATAATGACGTCATCAACTAATCGCAGTAGACGAATGACCCAAACAACTGTTCTACTTTGACCAGTCGAACAGGAGGGAACAGAGATTCTGAGTAATCTAGAGTAGCCAGCTGAATTCGCCTTACTGTAATGTTATATCATATATTTCAAAAGATAATAATCATTAAATTCTTATCTACAGTTTATAATGGTTTCCCGGAAATATTGTTTTTCCCATTTATTTTCTTTTTGTGTTCATTCCATTAAAAAATGATTCATCGAGGTTTTACTGTATTTTATTATCATTTGATATACTGATATTTAAATTTAGAAGTCATATTAGTATCAATAATATTTATTATAATACTAGAGAAAATAATAAAAATATCTTTTAGATTTTCTACCTTTTATATTGACAATTAAATCTCTATAAATGTTTAACTTATCTCTAAGCTTTATTTAATTCGTACACAAATAATTGCTAAATATATGATTGATGCTGTATGTTGACAATACTGTGAAGATTTGAAAATACAGTTATGTGCTATGTGTGCGAAAGACAAGTGTTAATCCAGGAACACAAACTAAACAGAAAGGAAACAACGTTATTTTTTTAAATAGTCTAATATATTCCAAAATACATCTATGGTCCACTAGTTGCCAAGTATGGATAAAACCATTAAAAACTAGTAGTTGGTCGTGGGTTCGCATCTCACCAAAGAATTTTCTGGGTTTTATTGACATTTGTAACATCTAAATAGAGGCCAGTTTTCCTTAGAAAGTCCTCTCGGCGAACACTCCCTTCGGTAAATCACTATGTCGCGTTTACGTATACATATAAACAAACTTAAACCAATCCAAAATAAATCTAAGTGTTTTAATTGTAAGTTTTCATCTTTATTATTTCTTTTCCGTTTAATTTAGTTTTCATTTTATTAGAACTTTAGAAGAAACGATGGAGATAAAGTAGCTGCTTTGAAATTTGTATGACGCCATCATTTAAACTTCTAAATTACTTTATTATTAAATAACAAACGTTCACTTCTAGTTCATTTTAGGACTGAAATTTACTTTCTGCTAACATTGAGCCAGTGGCATATCCATATACTTAATCGCACTACTTTTCCTCTGGCCAAACGAACGAATAATCTTCTTAATCCAAAATTCTCAAAATTGGATTAAGAAGATTATGAGAATCTTTTGATGTCATTAGGAATTATTTATCTATGATTTATCAATAAAAATAAAACTGATTTCAATCAGTTCAATTCCAAAATCTTAATAAAATATAAATGTATATTTAAAAGTTATGGTCATTGTAAAAAAACAATAAAAAAATTATTTTTAGATAATCATTGGAAATAAAAATAGTGATTTTTAATTATAGATTCAATTTGAAACATAATTATATTAAATAATTTAGCTTTCACCTATGCATATGAAAGTTTGAGATAAGCAAGCATCATAATCTATATAATATGGATAATAACCTATCATCGGTATTATTACAGATTGTTCTATTTATATAACAAAAAAACTGAATGCAATTGTTATAAATATTGAATTAAATTGATGTGGATACAATTAAATTATCATCAAATATTAATTTTTGAGGTTTTTTTTGCGAAAAACTAAATAGTACTTACACTAATATGAACATCAATTACTAAAAAGAATTGAAATCTTTTNAATTCTCAAAATTAACACAATAAAATAGTTATCTCCATTAACTTTTAAAAAACACGAAGTCTTTTCTAATAATTTTAACATACGAATATTTTACATATATTGCTAAATTGGATAATATAATTATGAATGAAAAGTAATTTGAAGGTAATAGCTACACTGAATATTGAAGTAACTTCTACAGTGCATCGGATAAGGCAGCAGTTCGCTTAATAAGCACTCTTCCACATTCCAGATTTTTCCTTTGTTTTACATTAGTGGGATTCTATAACAGAACACTGAATAATACAAGTAGAGCAGTCCGTTTAAATGTGAACCGTGTCGGTGGCATTATTAGAGCAGCAGTCCGCAAAAAAGGAACACTACTCTAAGGAAGACTTAAAAGAGTCTATGAAAAAACCGACCATTAGCAGGCTTCCACAACAATCACCATCAACAGATACCATAGTTGTAATACGGTGTAGCTCTATACTATGGCATTTGTTGAGATTTGGCGAATCCTTTCACTGATCAGTTTTCTAATAAATGGACAGTCAAAAGATTTCTTACAGAATCATAAGAAATAGGTTTTAATGGCACACGTATAAGAAGCAATTACATATCAATTAAAGAGGTATCATAAAATATATATGAAGAAACAGCGCAGATCAAATATGTGTCCTCATCTAGAGAGGACGAGGCAAGAACTGATTAGCGACAAGGAAATCACATGTCCTTTTGGTATTTATTTGATTTACTTTCTCAGCTGTTATACATTATATAACAGAGGGAAAGTATGGCAATCGGTTAAAAAATTACTCCCAAGGTTTTTATATTTTTGGACTCAGGAACGTCAAAAATGAAATAAATGATGATTCTGTATTATGCAAGTTCTAGATTTTATAATGTGTGTGTGTATTTTTGCACAATTTGGTTCATCCAATTTGAAGCTTGCTAACTCCTGTGTCGTTTGTCAAAAATTTCTGAAATTTTCTAGGAGATTTGTATATTAGGAGAATTGATGCTAGTAAATTTTGATGGTTAAATGTCATGGTGGAAAGATAAAGGGGGTGATAAGATGTCATATTTCGAGTTGGGTCGGATATAATCATCTTATTTATTAGTATTTTTAATTTTTATAAAACTTATCTCTATCTTCAAAAATTAAGCTTTTTGCCATTTTATAATAATTAATAAAAATAAAATGATTTTAAAATAAAATCTCAACAGTGTTGCCACACACAATTCTAAAGTTTGGCCGAGAAAGTTACTCAATTCGTTACTGGAATTTTACAGTGTACGTCCCACTGGAAAGCATTCAGAAATTTTAGAGTAAGGATATTCATATCTTTTCAGCTAGACTACTTTTACTTCTTCCCAAAAATAGAGTAAATGTCTATAGTAAATACAGTATACTGTATTTACTGATTATTCGATAAAGCAATGAAATTCATGATACAATAATGGAAATTAATAAAATTATTTAATAATGAATTTTAACGACTTCAAATGTGTTATAAGTTTTATAGAACTCCTGGAATGAAAAAGTGGAGAGAATCGAATATCATTATCAATTCCATAGGTGAACTTATTACTTCGGATAAGGGAACATAACGCATTATTTCGAGGGTCCTCGATTGTACATGCTAATATACTGTAAAAGGCACGTTCAATAAAAAAAACCGAAAAAATTCCATTAAAAGACAGGAGGGTAAGCAATAGCGTAGTAATTTGCACACACACAACTTTTAAATCAGAGGCAATAGTAACTGCGACTGGCAACACTATTAATGCTCCAGAACATAAGACAACGGACCGATAAAATGGCGACTCTCCCCAGCAGTACACGAAGCAAGAGAGGTATAGTCTTGTCTGATTTTTAACAATAACAAATCGACATCCATTGGCACATGCAATTACAGTAAGGAGACGAGTACACGAGTTGCACACAGGTGTACTAGTAAAGTTCTAAGTTCAAAAACATGG